GTTTTTCTGGAATGGCCAAATGTGGTTTCTTAGCAACAAAGGGAATTTTTCTCCTTTTAGATCAGATTTGGTTTTTAACAGCTTTGATGCTGAAGGTTGCTTCTACCCGGGCAGAGCCAGGGCATGGGTGTACCGGGGACGTCGCGCTCGCCGGCTCCTGCTTTGCTGCAGCCACGGGGGGCTGGAGCAGATAGGGCATTGCTGGGGAGACTGCTCTTAGGCCACTGCTTTTCTGAGAGGCTTTGAACGTTGTAAAACGTGCGGGAAAGGAGAAGTTTGCAAGTCCAATGTCAGCTGGTTGAAAGAAAGCAAAGCCCTTAACCCACAGTGGACCTGGCCCCACGGGTCGCATCGGCTGCTTTGGTAGTCATCGACGTGCCACGTCTTGGTGCTCATGGCTGGTGGTACTGGTGATTTGGTATGGTGGGAGCAGCTGGGAGCCCAGGGCTGAGCCCAGGCTGCTGTCGGGGCTCCTGGGGGGCTCCGGGTCTGACCTGCCGCCCTGCTGATGGGCTCCTCTGGGTGCTTTCCCCGCAGGGTGCAGGTCGAGTTCTATGTGAATGAAAACACCTTCAAGGAGCGGCTGAAGCTCTTCTTCATCAAAAACCAGCGATCGAGTGAGTGTTCCATGCGTGGAGCCCGAGTGTCTGCCAGGAGAAATCGAACCCTGCCCGAGCTCGAGAGCCCTGCTCCGTCCTCGTGGGACGAGAAGCCGTTGCCATCTGCTGGTGGCTGCTTCCCCGTGTGTCCCCAGCGCTGGCTGCCCAGCCCAGGGCAGTTGCACAGGGAGGAGGGGATGCTGCCTGCCACTTTTGCTTGCTGGGGACAAACACAGCGTAGGAACCAACTGGGAAAAATTGTCTGGGAGCAGGGTGGGTGTCAGGAGCTGCCCGGAGGGGTCAGGGAGCAAATGTCCCCGCCACGGGGCTGGCAATGCTCCCTGTGCCCGCAGGTAGGGGCAGCCAAGGCAGGCTGTGAGTTACCCGCTCCTGCTTCAGTCATCCGGATTAGCCTCCACGTGACTTATGGTGTTTTTATTTTCTTTCTCCAAGATGTCATTAGCTGTCTGGAGTGAGACTGCTCATTAATTTATAAATTCACATTTTCTTTTTCTCCCTGCACCCTGTCGTCTTGTTACAAAGCTGGAGCGCAGCACAACAGGGGAATTTTTTAATGAAAATGTGATGAATTTCTCACTTGTAATTTGAGTAATAACCCGATGAACTGGCTGGGGAAGGAGAGCAGATAAAGCAGCAGCTTTTGCTTGCCATCCCTCCTCCTGCAAGCTGTTTGCAGCGCGGCGAGCGGAGTGGAGCCCTGGCCCTGCCTCTCTGATGCTTTTTAATGGATGCCTGCTGATGGGGGGGATACACTCCGGCAGCTCCCTCGTTTGTCTCTCACATCTATGGGGGCCAGCAAGGAGCTGACTCATCATTATTTATTTCTGTATCAGTCTCCTGTATATTTGACACTGGATAGAGCCCCAGGCAAAGCGTGAGCAACGTTTGTGTGCTGCCCTGGGGCGCAGTGGGGTCCTGTCCCTGCAAAGCCTGCGGGAAACTAAAGAGGCTGTGCTGTGGGGTGCACGGGGTGAGCAGGGTGCATGGGGTGCCCGGGGTGCATGGGGTGCCGGGGCACGCTGCCTGGCCCACGCCGTGCTCCCCTCTGCCACAGGCCTGAGGATCCGGCTCTTCAACTTCTCGCTGAAGCTGCTCACCTGCCTCCTGTACATCGTCCGCGTCCTGCTCGACAACCCGGAGGAGGGCACAGGCTGGTGAGTGCCGCTGCCGC